GCAGGATTTTTAAGAGAGAGCATTCATATTAAGTGGTGTGTTTTAAAGAAAAATAGCTATTGCAATCTCTCCTATTTGTCTTAAACAAAGAGCTTAAGCTAACAATAATAAAACTATCCTAAGGTATAAAACTTAGAAGCAATTGGAGGCACACACATACATCACACACACACACACACACACACACACACACACACACACAGAGAGAGAGAGAGAGAGAGAGAGAGAGAGAGAGAGAGAGAGGCAAATGAAGCTTCAGAAGGGTAAGTTCATCTTGGCTGTGTTCCAGTTCACAAATTCAGTATAAATCTATAAAATGCTTCTAAAGAAATCTGAGAGCAATAGTCCCAAAAGAGAGTATTCTTGATACACATATCTATTTCCATTCAAATCAATGCAAAGTTTTAATTCATGTAGGAATTAAAACCATTCCAGTTCTGATCCAGGCAGGGTCCAACAGTCTGGCCAAAGATAATCCCTTTCAAAGCTCATCCATAAATGGTAGGCTTATCTTTCACTATGCCCCAAATCAAAATGAGGTACAGCCTCCCAGTAAGGTTGGGACAGAGTAGTTGATGTGAAAATTGTTTTAAAGGTGTTAGAAGAATGTTTTCTTACTCAAACCATACAGCAAAACAGAAAAAGAAAATAAAAGTATCCCTTTAGAAACAGCAGGTATAAGAGAGAAAAGAAACTGGATGGAAAGAACATATTTAAAAAGCCAAGTCTCAACTATTGTTGCTGGGGGAAAGGAGAACAGAGATAAAGAGGAGGGAGCCTATCTGTGAAAAGTAATTGGGAAATACTACTGGAGAGATCTCCTCATGAAAACTCAGTTCAGCAAGTGGCGCAAGCACAACCTCTAAGCTATTACTCTCCTCTTCTAAAAAAAAAAAAAAAAAAAAAAAAAAAAAACAACCCTAAATGGAACCTATGGATAAATAGATCATCTTTCTGATATAAAATTCACTTTCACTCAGTGTTTTATGAAGATCCTAATAATAATCACAGATTTGGAAAGGATCTTAGATGAATTCAAACATAACACACCTCTTTTAAAAGATAAAGAAGCCCAGAGGTACTTGTTTTTAGTCATTTAGCAAAGGAACTTCAACTCAAATCTCCCATTTAACAGGCTAGAATTTCTAGTCTATAGGCAACCTTGAAATTAGGAGAGTTGGATTAAGAATTGCACTCTTGCCTAAGCAGAATAAGAAAAGGGGAAATGCCATAAAAAAAAAGTCCATAGAGTTCAACAGCTGTTCACCATTCTTAATTATATGGCGACAGACTCAACTAATCAAGCCCTCTCTTCCTTACATGTCCTACATAGGAGCTAACAAATTATGTATACTCAATACATGTTAAGACTTCAACTGCTTCAAAGTGTAACAAAACCTTAAACATGTTTCCTAAGTCCCCAGCACCAATGAATTTGTAGTTTTATAAATATCATGGTGAACAAGAAATGCTGTCTTGTCACATTCAAGCCAAATAACAGCTGGACTTTAAAAATAAAATTTTGAAGGCATTTGCCTTTTATATTTTTAATTTCTGTTTTCCTTGCCTATGGTTTTGTCATATGATTTTGATGAGTGGTTAATACACATGCACAGCTGCCTCTTTTGGTGACCTTTTCCTCACTGTCTCCAGGCTCAGGGCTACGAAGCATGTCTACAAGTTGCTTACTAAGTGATATTGTCATTTTCATGGCTGGCACATTTCCCTGGGAAGCCTGGTGGAAGCAGGGCCTCATCTTCTGGATTGGCTTACTTTAGTCACTTCAGAAGCCCCACAGGAGGATGGGGTAGAGTGGAGGGAGGGCATAGCCTCTTAAAATTGCTGTTTCAACGCCAGAAGAGACCTGTATGAACTGAGGGACAGGACATTCTGGGCTATAGGCACAGAACTAACCTATCAACTCAGCCTCCCTAAGGAGCTCTCACTCCGAGAGCACAAAGAAGTCCTGATCTTCTTAGCATTTTTCTCCACGGTAATTCTGTATGTACATATTTCCCTTTTAATCTCCTGTCTTTCCTCACTAGATCATATGTTTAAAGAGGTCAAGGACATCTCTGCTTTGTTTCCTGTCTTTTATTCTATGTCTAGTTTAGGGGCTGGCACATGGTAGTCACTCAAGAAATGTTGGATGGTTCTTTTTTTAGACCACAGGCTAAGTGAAGGAGCAAGTAATTTTTTTTTACTTATTCTGATACTCCAGTTTCTTCTTAATCTTACTGTTAAGGGAAATGTGAAGGAACAAAGTAGAGAAAGTATCATGTGTACCTGTTATCTACTCTGACTTTAATATGAACTGTAACTCCAGCAGACGTTGCAATCAGCTCACACTTGAACAGATGCCAGGAAATATCCTGAAGTCAGCAGAAGGCTGCTACCCATCCTAGAAGTCCTCACAGAAGCACTACACTTCAGTCAGTATTAGAACAGGTAACTTGACTCCATTCATGAACCCACAGTCCCCCAAAAGCACATGAGGTCTCAATGGCAACTCTGGGCAAGCGTCTGAAGGGAGGTTTTCACATGCTCCTTAAGCTCCTGGGCCACTACAGCCCTTCTACTATGACACTCATCAGGCACTGCTGCTATATGAGACAGAGTAACATGAGAGCTGGCGTATGGCATGACTTGCTATTTTTAGGGCAGAGGAAATGGGCCATACTGAGGAAGGTCACAAGGAGTTTGTTCAGAAAAACGAAGGGACCGCGTATTTCTGTATATACAGGGAGTGTAGTATGGCAGGCTGCTTGGAACAATCTCAGTTATACCCTTAATATGTGGTTCATAGCAAGTGATTTAATTATTCTCAGCCTCAGTTTTCTCACCTGTAAAATGGAAAAAGTAATACCTTCTTCATAATGTGTATAAGGATTAAATGAGTAAATATGGGTAAAAAGCCTAACACATCCTCCAGCAATTAAGTGCTTGGTAAAATGTTTGCTAAAAACAAAACAACCTGGAAAATTGATTTGAATCTAGACAATCTAGACATTGAATAGAATATCCAAAAATATTTCTATATAGTATGTTTCTCTAGAGTTAAATTTTTAACATTTTCCTTTTAAATAGTTAATAATTCTGACCATGATTTTTAACTTACCAAGCACATGATATCACTAACTAGATAATGACATTATTGAGAGATAACTGACTATATTTACACCCAATATGCAGTTAAGGAAGCAAGTGAAAAAGGATGAATGACAAATTTAGAAAAGCCTTTGACAGCACAGATAAGGTGATAGAGCTCTGTAACTATCAGTCTGTTGTGAAATAAACAGAGTGAATACTCCAAAGTAATGAAAATATTTATTTCATTACAAATGGTCAACAATTTAGGTACTCTACAGTGCAATCTCCCAATAAAATTGAGATGGGCCAGACCTGAAAAAACTTCCACACAGACTTTTACGCCAGCCACAGTCTCTGTGTTGCAGTCAGATGGTTAACTGCGCAAGTAACATCATTTGGATTTCCTGGCTCCTTAAGCAGAGGAACCTCACCTCTATCAGTGGAAAACCTGCACTTTTAAGTGCCCATGAAAATAATAGGCTGTTGATACACATTCTTCAAGGAAGACAGCAAGTATATTTCTGGTTTTGAGTCCTCTTCATGCCTCCCTTCCTACCTAACTTCCTCTTCCTCATTCCACTCCTTCCTTTCTCTTCCCTTCCCCTCCCTCCCTCCCTCCCTCCATCTCTACCCCATACACACATACACATCTTAATCAGAATTCATTTTAACACCTTGTCTCCCAAACTATCATCAAACATTAATCTTTCCTACTAGTATGAAAAATTAGCACTCTGAAAACTTTCTGAAGGCTTCCTAATGTCTAATACTACTCATCTAAGTGCTCATTCCAGGGATTTCTGGGCTGCCTGGGATGGCCCCAGGCTCTCAGTAGAAGCCATGCCCAGTTTAGACACTGCTATGAAGTGTCTTCATGCGTTTTCAAGGGATTAGGGTCCTGGAGGAAACCCTGCCAGTAAAAGGGATACTAGTGAGATTCTTCCCCTTAAGCTAAAGAAGGACTTTAGCTGAGACCTGAGATGGGCAAAGTATCATGTTACTCTGAAGAGAACAAATTAATCTTCCCTGACTGGTGGGACAGATTCTGCCAAAAGAACAGCTAACGGGAAAACCAGTCTCTACTCGATGATGACACAGTAAATAACCAGGCAACATTACTACTGAATTGCTGACCTAACCCGTAAATTGTACCCAGACTCTGGGGAGCAATTTCTGCTGATGTGCTGCTTGTGTATTTAAAACAAACAAACAAAAAGGGAAGAGAAGTGAACAGGCATTGATATTGGTGCGGGTAGACATTCTGAGAGTAAGGCTGGTCTTTCCACCCAGACTTTTGAGAGACTTTAGCAATGGTTAGTGCATAGGCACAAACTGGGCCTTCCCCAGACAACTATTAAGTTTATGCTAAAACTGCTGCAAACTATCATTTAATCCCCAAAATAAAACTACCGTACCTGGGAAACACTTGATTTAGATATGCTAAATACTCTGATTTGATCATTCCACAATGTATATGTGTATAAAAATCACTTTATATCCCATAAATACATACAATTATTTCTTGTCAATGAACAATAAAATAATGTTTAAAAGCCCCCCTTTGTATACTTTCCCTTTTTAAACACAAATTCAGTGAGGTGGCTGAAACACAGAATTCTGCTGTTCATTGAAATGTAGAGGATCCTTTTATTTTAAAACTTTAATGGTATCTTGAAGTACTTGGATTGCTAAGTATTTAGTAATGTAATATCTAACTGCTTCTTAAAGTCTTCCACTATAATGCATAACATAACATACATACATAGTTAAAGAGTAACATTTCCTCTGCTTTGCCTAAAAAATTCTAGCTGATGACTCCTACAAAAAACTATAAAGATCCTATGTCTAGCTCAGACACACCTTTGAAAACATATGGAGCAGCAGAAAAGAGCTAGGAAAAAGCCACTCACCCTCTGCATCTTCCGGCCGAGTGAGATCGATGACACCTGGGCCCAGTTTTCCATCTTCATTTGACTTTCCTGTTAACTGGGGCCCCAAATTCTCAAAGCGTGTTCTTTCCTAGAGGAACAAATAATTAGAGGCTTATTCCAGTTTCCAAACAGCCACTATTTCCTTCCAGTTTCTGTCTTGCTTAATGGGCAAAAGTTGAATGCACAAATATCATTTCTGCCCAACTTGGACCAATTTTCATCTTTCAGGAAAATTCCACTGAAAGCCAATTGTGACATGGACACAGCACTGACAGCATCTAAACCATAGTGCCTGTAAGGAAAGGAAACCAGTGACAGGGAACCTGCCAGAGCTGCTCTGCATATCTTCTCTCTGTTGGGTTTGCTCCAGTAATCTAAAAAGAATGCAACAGAGGGGGTTGAGCCAACAATGCCAAAACTGGAAAGAGCAGTTCCTATTAAAATATACTGCTAAATTTAATGGGAGAGGAATTTTCCCATTTAGAGATCATAGTTTGCATTGGTATTCCTGTGGAAATACAAGTCAGAATTTTATGTACAACGGTTTCAAAAACAAGTATTTCAAAGCAGGGCAACTAGATGATGACTGATATTACTATTTTGTCTCAGAATTTCAACTGTGATTTTTCTGGGAAGAGAAAAGGAGGACATCACTCCTAGCCAGCCATGGAGCCAGGAAAATTAAACACCCCTGCTGCTTTAGGAGGAAAACCCAGAGATGTTTTACTTGTTCACCAGTTCTTCTAGGAGCAGGAGTCGTAGGCATCACAGTGAACACTCCCTCTGCAGCTTTCTGGATCAGTAGCAGAGGGGCTCATTGACCATCATTAATATGGTGTTCTTGTCTGCAGAAGCACAGTGCATGTCCCCCTCTCGTCTCCTCACTACTCTCCTGACTCAAACTTGGCTTTGTGTTGTGCTTATGAATGAATGAAACCTTGTTGTTCATTACTATGAAACAATATTAAATGTCATGTCAGCTTGAATTTACAGACATGAAATAGCAGCTTCTAGCTCCGGGAATGGTTTCTGCATGGTATACTTAATGCATTATGCAGCAGTAGAGTGCTGATTGCTGTTCAGCCTATTGTTCAATGACCTAGTTCTGTACTGAGCATGTTCGGCATTAGATGGAAACACTCTGAGTGTTCTCTTCTGTAAGATGTTTAGAAACTTGGAAATATTCTTAAAGAGCAAACATACAATTACTTGATAGAGGCTGTGCTTCATTTGTACAGCCTCACTACATTTGTGCTTTCTAATGTGATTATTTTTGAATATCATTATATTTCTATAATTAATTCCCATCAGTCAAATTGTGCAGGAAGTCTTCCAGTTCCCCTTCATCATGGAATATGTTGAAATCTGTTTTAGAAGAAAACACAGCATAAACCTTGCTTTAATCTACACCATTTCTATGAAAGATTTGCAACAAAAATTATAATCATGAATTTCCCTAACTGGGTAATATTCACTAGTTTAAATAGCAGTATGTGGGAAAACCTGTGAAATACGACACATAAAAAACAGAATGAAAATAAAAACCAAATTAAGTACAGTTTCCTAATATCTTCTAATGCGAAAACACGGTGCACAAGAACAAATTAACCCAGATGCAGAACACAACAAAAAGCAACTATAAGCCTTGTGGGAGCTTCACACATAGTCAGGGAAAGGACAGCTGCTTTTAATCAGCCAATTTCTATTTTTGAGTAGCACTTTGGTTGTCATGATGTAAAAAGAAAAGAATTAAAGTGAAGATGAGTAGTACCAGGGAAAGCAAAATATTCAACCTTTGTTTTATCACATTGTTTCGCATTTCAAATATTTGCATGTGAATGCTTTCCCTATGTTAAATGCAAAAGGAGTTTTGATGTGACACCTGCAATCTTCTTGGAAGAACAACCTTTAACTGTATTTTCATAGGGGGAAAACAACTTTCTCTGAAAATCAACAGACCGTGCTACCTATCAATATGCATATTTCAAGTATCTTTCTAGTCATTCATTCTCTTTGATTTTACTGGAAAATATTCTCAGTAAAAAAAAATAATAAAGTTCCTGAAAGAATATCAATATTTTGACAAGGAAGTAGAAGAGGGAAAATTACATGCCATGGTTTGTAAAATCCTAAGACAACAAAGCTTACATGATGATAATATCTTTTCTTTTATAAAAATTGAAGTGCTCTCACAATTCAGTAGTATCAGCTTGTTTTTAATCATAACAAAAAACATTCAGAACATTCAACAACACATTCACAGTGTCTTTGAAGTCATACATTTTTCTGACTTCATTGAAAAAAAAATCTTCTAGAGAGATACTTTCCTTTAAAATATCAATATTTTGACAGTAGAAGTCAAGGAAGAATATCCAATAAAACACTTCTTAAATAGGAAGAAAATAAATCAATTATAGAAATTGTTTTGGGCAGTGGGTTGCATTTTAAATTTGATAATATTAAGCACTTGTGTTTGAGATTAAAGAAGGACCCTGCAAAGCCATGCCCTTTCATATAAATTTCCACCTATTCTCCCAGAAGATTTCCTTCTTTTCTTCAAAGAATAGCTCAGAATATTTATTTGCCAGCCACATAACTATAAGATAAGAGGGCCTGATGTCTACAAGTTACGTCTGGGCAGCTGAGCTAAGCAAAGATTTTACCGGTGAGGTCCAACATGAGCCTAGTAAATACAGGATGTGGACATGGGCACAGAAAGAAGTATAAAGATAACTTCAGTTCCAACAAGCTTAAACTTCTGCCATTATGCCCCTATATAGAACAAATATAGGCTGTGTGTGGCAAGTTCTCAAGTCCAAATTTCCACACACTTGAACTAGCTGTCACCATGTACATAGCTCCCAAGTAAGATACGTTGGAGATATAAGCAAAATACCTCAATGCTAATTTAATCCCACCCCTCCAGGAAAACTGCCTATGTTGACAGTGGATTTTACATGCAGCAATGTGATCAGACACTTACTTATGCATTGTCAGTCACAAACATGCAGGCAACATAAAAGTTATTGAAAAAAATTAAAGTCAGCTCTGCTGTGTTGTAGGACTGTTGGTTCTCTAAGTGCTTTGAAATTATGATATATGAGGTAGATGTTGCATATTAAATAAATATATTTAATGATAAAGCCCCCTTTAGTGAGAGCTGATGAATGTTAAATGTTACAAGCCACAAGACGGTAGTATCCATCATCTTCATATATTATCAGAGTCAATGACGGGGCAGCCTCACTGATGACAGATAGACTGCTGGATTATTATCCCTTATTTCCAGAGTTACTGAACAAACCATTCAACTCTTTGGGCATTATTTTTAACTTTGTATTAAATTAGCAACTTTTCCCTCCCTACCATGGCAAGATTGATCAATTTTGTTTATGCATGGGTGGAGAGAGAGAATGAATTGGGGTATCTAAAAGAACAGAGGTTTGTTTTTATCTAGGAAAAAAATCAACTTCCTCTTACTGGCAACAAATATAAAATTGTGATCTGGGGAAAGAACAGCAATGAAACAGTAAGCACACAATAATGGCTTTTCTTTGCACTTAGATAAAAGCTGAATTTTTGATGTGCACAGTATATTTTAATAAAATTTTATATACTATGTTTTATACACTTATTGGCTATTCCATTATAATGTGTGTGCTAACAGTAAAATTGCTCTTAAATTTATGTGTGTTATTTATATGTTCCCACGTAACAATGCTTTTTGTTGTAAAAAATATTCTGTTTATTAATGTAACTTTACAACCACTGCATCCAGGATCCGTGGTAAATTAATGACATTTTTATTATTTTATAGTGTCATTAAATTTTTACTGATCACTCCATCAAACAGAGGCAGTAAAGGCCATAATGTAAACTGGGACACTTAGATCAGGCAGCAGGAAGACATTCCATATAGTCTGAAGAAAACTGCTAGCAATAAATGATATTTATACCATCTTTAAGCATGTGAGAATACTTGGATAAGTTTGGCAAAACTGTTTCAGTAGTAGAGTGGATTGTGTACTTAAATAACAGTTTGCTTGCCAGTGAGACAAGCCTTTTTCAAACCATATGCGAAGTGACTGATTGCAGCCATCTCCTGAAAAACATGTGAAATGTAATGATGCACTGGGTCCCTCCCTTTTGCATTACCAAGACTGACCAGTGAGTACCATGCCTCAAATTATTTCAACATGGTCCCCTTTGCCACAAACCGAAGTGGAAAATGGCACACGCTGAGAGAGGCTTTTTGTTTGCTGTTTTACAAACAAAATGTATTTCATTTAAGTACATATGTCTGGACAATGATGTGATATATTTCATTCCAATGGTCTGAATGAGAGGTACTTTACCAATCTTTATTCAAGAGCTCATTTCTAAGGGGTGTCTGAATATGGGGGATCACTCACGGCAGCCATGGAAAATACACTACAGAGTCATTACCTATAGCATAGTTAAAACAGGTAAAAAATGATTATCTCATGTTATTTTTGTGTGTAAAATGCATTATAATTAGGATACTCTCTATACTGACTCTCAGAAATAAACCTAAATGTGTGTTATGAACTAATTGCTAAATATTCTATTTATGTATATAGAAGACAGTAAATAAATTCTACGCTCATATAATTATGAATTTAGAAACACCTAATTTCTACAAGGGGATTCTGATACGATTCTTTCTTAAGTAAAAAAGGATTTTGTTGTTGCATCCTAAAATACATATTTAAATATTAAAGACTTAGAAATCTTTCAAATGTGTAATGATAAGAAATTTTGCAGGGAAGGTTAATACTACAGCCCCACTAGTCATGTTTTGTGGGTATTCCTAAAGCAGAGTTTTCTAAGAAAAATAACAAATATATGTATTATGAACAGAAGTTCTCAAAGGCCATGACAATATTCAGAGATAATATCCTCAGAGTTTCAGCTATGTCTGCGTTATTGAGTGTAAGCTAAATAAGTCTTGTTGTTTTCGTCCTAGCTCTTACTTCAATTTTTATGAACGTTTGATTTCCATTTGCGTATTTTGATGTATTTCCAACCCAGGAAAACTCTTTCCTAAACTGAAAGTAAAGATTACCC